GTCGACAGTCGGCTAGTGCCTAGTGCACGCCAGTTGGCATCGGGCAGTGCCCGACAGCACGCCCGAGCATCATGTACCGTCAGGGTCACCGGTAGCACCTGAACGGTAGCAGTTCTCACCAAACAACATCAGTTCATGTGTCCAAGTGCTCAGTAGCCTGTCCGCGGTGCCAGTCGCGCCCGACAGTGGCCAGTTGCCATGTCATGAAGTCAGTTGACCGTCGGCGATGCCCAGCAGCACCCGATGGTTGTTCAATTAATACGCGCGTTGCGCCAGTCGCACGCCAGCGCTCAAGGTCATGTCCAGTCGGTCCAGGCTAACGCCTATTGTGCCCAGCAAGGTTCAGTCCACGCCGACTGTGCCCAGTGGCACGCCAGCATGCAAGGACACCCATGCCCGTGCCAATCACAACCAGTAAGGCCCGGCTGTGCTTAAGCTGAGCCCAGTCCATGCCAGCGATCGCGCCAGGGCACCAGCAGGTGCAGCGTGGGACTGAGCCGGTTGGCCGAGCCAACGGTCGACCGCCCGGCCACAGTAGGCCGGCGGTCCAGCCAGCCATCGAACCGGCCAGTTCAGACTGGTTTATCTCATGTTTTGATATTTACTGATGCGGTCCATGTTCATGTCAGAATTTCAGTTAAAATGCCAGGTCTAGTCCGGTTTAGTTCAGTCATATCAGTCCAGTTCCATATCAAACTAGTTCCAGCTATACCGGTTAATTTCAGGTGTCATGTCAGTTCGAGTCGAGCATCTTAACATATTAACAAGATATTTTAATCAGTCTGAGCATAGTACTTAGTATTTGCTTATATCATGTAACAGTTTGAACAATCTACAGTCATCAGCACTTCCCTTTTCATATCGACGGTTCAGGTGGGGACTCAGACTGGTATTACATTTATTATAATTACTCTACAATGTTTGAGATATGTATCATGTTATGTATCCGCTTGGAATGGTAGACGGTACAGGTGCGTAAACCCATTCTAGGTTCTAGTGGCCTTATCTGCCCACTAGAGTGTGCACATGGTGTCCAACACGTTTGTGTTGGCAGATATTGTAGCTATGCTACAGCTATGCTATGACATGCCATGCCATGATTCTTATATTGTACCGGTACCACATTTCTACATGCTATTGATCATGATATTGTAATTATTTTCACTGTTTACTTTAGTATGAGGTCCTACGGAGCACAGTGGATTTAGTGCTCACGCCCCATGTTTATCTATGTATTTCAGGTCATATAGTCGAACCGGAGGTGTGAGATACGGGATCATGTTTATTATGTTTTGTATATATGTTTTGCCACGCTATGATTTCCGTTGACTTTTACTGTTTGTCAAACTTATCCGTTTTGGGTCCGATTTACCAGTTGGATCGTTTATATTATGATAATCTATTTTTCTTAAAAACAAAAATGAAGGTAACGGATTTCAAAGCAAAGTAATGACGTATGGTAGCACTTCGAGTCACGATTTCGCAAACTAATCAGTATTTTTAAGTATAGATTTTGCAAAAATTTAACTTTGATATTACGACATAGCAGGGTGCTACAGTTGGTATCAGAGCATGTTTCTGCGTCTCTGAATACTTTTACGAGTCAGAAACTTTATAAATCCCGAACACGTCACGCTCACGCCTCGCCGACTACTAGGTAAGTGTTGATTTATGTTTTAGATATAAACAAATTACTATATCTATGCTCAGTAAAATGCCAGGCAATCCAAAGTTATGAATTAGTTAGGATGCTCAAGTCATGTTCAGGAATTATAGTCCAGTGTATCCATGATTCAATGTCAATATTTCTGAGCCAAGTTAACGACTCGTCAAGAAATTTGCGTGTCTTATCACTCAGTTAATGTATCATGTTATGTCATATCTCTACATTTAATCATGTTGAACATTTCCAATATTCAGATGTCGCCACGTAGGGATCCATATCATCAGGAGGTCCCCTAGGCCACCGTAGTCGCTCAATTTCGCGACTACCATCCAGAGAAATTTTTCGGCCAGGGAGATCCCTGAATTGTTGACGAATGGGTCCAGGGCCTTAAAATGATTTTTGAAGTCATGGACTGTCCCGACCGTTATCGTGTTCTATGCGCACAGATCCAATTGACGGATGACGCATGTCTCTGGTGGAATGTCTATTGGGGAATGCGTTCCGGTGAAAAGGAATGTTGTACGTGGGACAAGTTCAAGGAGTTGATTCGCGAGAAATATTATCCCGCGTACTATCGAGCAGTGGAGCGTCAATTTCTAGCGCTTAAACAGGGTACTCGTACAGAGGACGAGTACGAGAGAGAATTCACTCGACTTGGAGCCTTTGTCTTCGACCTGGTAAGCAACGAGGCAAAGAGATCGAGATGTTTCACTGATGGGCTTTTACCAGCAGTCCGTCATAACATTGTAGGTCACGACGTCCAGACCTATGCCCATACTGTCACCATAGCCCAAGAAGTTGATGCAAGCATCCGAAGGGAGGCCAACCATGATCATCTTCATCCATTTGCCCTTACCCAATCATCATCAGCACCACCTATCCATCCTGCTGCTACTCAACGACTGAAGGACAAGAAGAAGAAAGGGAAAGGCTTCCAGACCGATAAGAGGATTCGTCCGAGACAGCCAGGTGCAGCCAAACCGCAGCAAATTCCACCATGCACTACTTGTGGATGACCCCATCGTGGAGAGTGTCATTTTGGCCAGGATATTTGCTATTACTGTCACCAGCCCGAACATTTTGTCAGCAACTGCCCAGAGCGACCGCAGCCACAACAGCAACCACCACAGCAGCCACAGCAGCAGCAGCCCAGACAACATGCTCCGAGGCCACCCCAACAGCAGCAGCGAGGTAGACAGCAGGCTCGTGTTTATGCTGTAGACCAGGCCGAGGAGGAACAACACCCAGGTACTATGTCTGGGATGATTATGATAAACGATGTTCCTGTTTTCGTCTTATTTGATACTCTAGCAACGCACTCTTTTATATCACGACGATGTCTTGGCGCCATTGGAGTACATTCTATTACCGCCGTCGATCCTCTCGAGGTGAGTTTAACTTCGGGACGAAAGATAGTGACCGATGCCAAAGCTACAGATCTCAGCCTTTCTATCGGTGGTCGTATCTTGACTACCGATGCTTATGTTCTAGAGATGAGGGACTTTGACCTCATTCTCGGTATGGATTGGCTAACATATTTTCATGCAGATATTCGACGCCATGGCCGGGAGATTACTCTTTATCTTCCAGGAGACGATCATATATTACTTTCTTTGGCACCAAGACTCGTTCTTTAAGTCATGTTATTTCCATGGGGAAAGCCAAAAATATGTTACGACGAGGTGATTGCCAGGGTTACCTAGTGAGTCTTGTCGATGATAAACTGAAAGCACGGACACCTCACGACGTTTCTATTGTTCGTGAGTTTGTGGATGTGTTTCCGGACCAACTTTTAGGAGGACCACCTAACCGGCAGGTAGAGTTCTCTATTGATCTTATTTTAGGAGTCGACCCAGTATCCAAAGCACCATATCGAATGGCGCCAAAAGAATTGCAAGATCTAAAGAATCAAATCCAAGAATTATTGAAACTCGATTTTATTCGGCCGAGTGTTTCACCATAGGGAGCACCCGTTCTTTTCTTCAAGAAGAAGGACGGTTCTATGCGCATGTGTATTGATTATCGGGATCTCAACCGGTTGACTATCAAGAACAAATATCTGCTTCCTAAAATTGACAACTTGTTCGACCAGCTGAGGGGAGCTTGTGTATTTTCCAAAATTGATTTACTATCAGGTTACCATCAGTTGAAGATCAAGGAGTCAGATATTGCAAAGACCACTTTTCGTACCCGGTACGGTCATTACGAGTTCGTAGTTATGCCGTTTGGCCTCAGCAATGCTCCAGCAATATTTATGGACCTGATGAACTGTATATTCTATCCTTACCTAGATCAGATTGTTATTGTTTTCATTGATGATATTCTAATCTACTCCAAGAGCCAGAAGGAGCACGAGGAGCATCTGAGGGTTGTTCTTGAAACCCTTAGACGTGAAAAGGTAAATGCTAAATTCTCTAAATTCGTCTACACCAAAAAATCCTTCCGAGGTTCGCAGTTTCCTCGATTTAGCAGGCTATTATCGCAGGTTTATCGAGGGTTTCTCCAAGATTGCCCTTCCTTTATCCCAGCTGAGAAGAAAATCTGTGAAATTCGAGTGGACTGATCGATGTGAATCTAGCTTTCAGTATCTTAAAAAGAGGCTTACCACAGCACCGGTGTTGACTATTCCATATCTTTCTCGGAATTTCACCATTTTTAGTGTTGCTTCAAGACAGAGTTTGGGATGCGTACTCATGCAGGATGGCCAGGTCGTTGCTTATGCTTCACGCCAATTAAAGCCCCACGAACAGAATTATCCTATGCACGACTTGGTCAGCGGTGGTTCATGCCGTCAAGATTTGGCGAAATTATTTATATGGCGGTCGATGTGAGATGTTCACGGATCACAAGAGCTTACAGTATATTTTCACTCAAAAGGAGCTCAACATGCGACAGTGACGCTGGTTAGAGCTTGTCAAAGACTATGATCATACTATCCAATACCATCCGAGGAAAGCGAATGTTGATGCTGATGCCCTAAGCCGTAAGGTGAAGGGTGATTTGACTTATGTTGTTACTCAGCAAAACCATCTTATCCAGGAATTCGCCTGGATGCAGATTCAGGTTGTTGATGCCCTTCCGACAGTAATTACGGGGAGTGTCAGTTCTATGCAGATTTAGCCTACATTGAGAGAAAGGATCCGACAGGAGTAGGCTTCTGATGAATTTGTTCGTGCTATTGATGCCAAAGTCCGCGCCAGAGGCGTTGAGGGTTTCCACTGAGGCACATATGGAGCCTTGGAATTTTGAGGCAGGATTGTTGTACCAAAAGTCGATGCTTTGTAGAAGGAGATACTGACCGAAGCTCATACCGCACCCTATTTAGCCCATCTAGGGAGCACAAAGATGTATCACGACTTAAAAAAGTCGTTCTGGTGGCGAGGAATGAAGAAGGACGTAGCCGACTTTGTGAGGAAATGTTTAACCTGTCAGCAAGCCAAAGCCGAACACAAGAGTCCCTTGGGCCTTCTGCAACCACTCGAGATTCCAAAGTGGAAGTGGGAGGAAGTTACGATGGATTTTGTCACAGGGTTACCGAGGTCGTCTGAACATCACGATGCTATTTGGGTCGTGGTGGACAGGTTGACTAAGGTTGCTCGTTTCTTACCAATATCGATGAATATGTCTTTGGATAAGTTGGCCGAGATTTATACCCGTGGAATTATTCGACTTCATGGAGTGCCTGTTACTATCGTGTCAGACTGGGATCCCAGATTCACCAGTCGATTCTGGGAGAGTTTGCATAAGGCGATGGGCACGCGCCTAGAGTTCAGTTCGGCTTACCATCAAGAGACTGATGGACAGACCGAGCGGACCATTCAGACATTAGAGGACATGCTACGAGCTTTGGTTGTTGACAGGGGTGCTAAGTGGGAGTCGTTATTACCATTGGTCGATTTCGCTTATAACAACAGTTATCATGCTTCTATTCAGATGGCTCCTTACGAAGCACTTTACGGTCGTAAATGTCATTCCCCTCTTTATTGGGATGATGTCGGTGAGCGTCGAGTACTCGGTCCAAATATGATCGAGAAAATAGCTGAACAGGTCGAATTGATTAGGAAAAGAACTTAAGAAAACTCAGAGTTGGCAGAAATCATCCGCCGATCGTCATAGACGAGATATCCAGTTTGAGGTTGGGGAGAGAGCCTTCCTTAGAGTTCGTCCATTCCAAGGGATCGTTCGATTCAGAAAGATAGGAAAGTTACATCCTCGTTTCATTGGCCCGTTCGAAGTTCTCGAGCGAGTGACCGAAAGTTGCTTATCGATTAGCCTTACCTCTCGAGTTATCCATTGTTCATAATGTTTTTAATGTATCTATGTTACGCAAGTACGTGTGCGATCCAGATCATGTCCTTCAGCATACCGATATCCAAATTCATCCAGACTTATCTTACGAGAAGAAACCTGTAGCTGTATTGGACCGACAGGTTCGTCGGCTCTGGAAACGTGATGTTCCCCTCGTTCGTATCCAATTGGATCGCCACGGTGCCACTTGGGAGCAGGAAGCTGATATATGCGCTCGTTTTCCTGATTTTAAGTTCTGATGTATATATTTTCTTATGTTCTATGTATATATGTTCCGTTTTGTATTTCCGAGGACGGAAATATTTAAGGGGAGCAGATTGTAATAGCCCACTATGTTATTAATGTAAATTACGTGTTTAATCCTGTAATATTCATGTTTATGCTCGGAATAATTTCTAAGTAATTAATTTCATGTGTTATAAGTTAATCCATGTTCAATCGCTCGATAAAAATATTACCGAGCCTAATCACCTTGATCGTGCACTAATCATTCTATTAATTGGCTTAATCGGCCATTAATCTGCACAATTATTCCGCATTGCCGAGAGGTTGCGCATGATCACATCATTGGTCACGCTAATCGGGCTTAATCTAAGGCCAATCATGCTTAAGCACCAGCCGTTCAATTGTCTAGTGCAAAGCACGATTAAAGTAAGCTTAGCACACCCTTAGGCCATAAGTTTTGCTAATGCCGAAAGTTGGGGCAAAATGTCATGTGCTCTCATCATTACTCTTAGAACATGGGGCAATGTTTTAGCAATTCAAGTGATGTCTAGGACAAGTCCTTAAGTGCCACATATACCATGACTAAGCAAGGAGGAAGCCACCTAAGGCTCTAAGCTCACGGCAAGTGCCGGCGGCCGATTGGCCACATCAATTATCTCATTAATTTTATCCAAATGCATCTTCATTTTCCCAAATATATATAAGAGACGTTGGGTAATTTTTATCTTACGCATAAGCCATATACTAAGCAAAGTTAAGAAACGTTAAGCCATATTCTATCGCACACGCACGCACGAACGTACGAGGACAGAATGATCACGAGAATCTTGTATCATTGATCGAACAATTGAGAGGGTAATCTCTTCTTGACTTTATTTTAATGTTAATATAATCATGCTAAGATCAAATCAAAGCTATGTTCACGAATAAGCTATATTTTCTCTGGACCGTACCATTTAAGCCATGCCAAGCCATGTCTATTTTTATTCGGCAACTCCCGAGCAATTCACGTTTCATTAGTCCTTATTGGATATATTATGATCAGTCATGTATCCATTGTCGAAGGAAGTTGTCGATCGGTCGAAGAAATCGGTCGAAGCCATGGGCTGCGCACGTCGCGCACGCCACGACCGATCCAAATTTCATCCGGCTTATTCATGATCCTCTGAGCAATTTATGTATTATTGGTCATTTAATATCATGTTATGATCATCCATGTTGTAATCATCGGAAAACATTGTCGGACGGCCGACAAGAGCCAATCGTAGTTGCCATGCTCGCACGCAGCATACCTGCAGTCAGGCAAGGTCGAGCGGGTGACTTGCGTATGCCCAGTCAGGCGTCATGAGTAGCCTCTACCACAGCAGTCGACAGTCGGCTAGTGCCTAGTGCACGCCGACAAGTCCCCGCGCACGCCAGTCGGCATTGGGCAGTGCCCGACAGCACGCCCGAGCATCATGTGCCGTCAGATTCCCCGGTAGCACCCAAACGGTACCAGTTCTCGCCAAACAGCATCAGTTCACGCGTCGAAGTGCTCAGTCGCCTGTCTGCGGTGCCAGTCGCGCCCGACAGTGGCCAGTTGCCATGCCATGAAGTCAGTCGACCGTCGGCGATGCCCAGCAGCATCCGAGGGTTGTTCCATGAATACGCGCATTGCGCCAGTCGCACGCCAGCGCTCAAGGTCATGTCCAGTCGGTCCAGGATAACGCCTGTTGTGCCCAGCGAGGTTCAGTCCACGCCGGCTGTGTAATAACCCACTATGTTATTAATGAAAATTACATGTTTAGTTTCGAAATATTTATTTTGTTGATCATTATCATTCAGGACTAATTATTCAAGTCAAGAACGTTCGAATTAATTTTTGAACTTACGTTTATGCTCGGAATAGTTTCTAGGTAAATAATTTTATGTGTGATAAGTTAAACCACATTCAATCGCAAGTTACCGAGTTTAATTTCATTGATCGCACGCTAAGCCGGTTGCCGCACGTCATTAGAGGATAAATTGTCCTTATTGCACGCCAATTGTCTTTAGATTTTGCAATCATGCTTAAGGTTGGTTTAGCAACTCCAAATTGCCGAAGGTCTTAAGCAAACTTTACGTGAAAGTTCATCATGAACACTTAGCTTATGTGGCTTTTTCCTAAACCTCAAGTGGTGACTAAGGCAAGTGCATAGGTGCCATGTGTATAGTGACTAAGCAAGAGAGGCCACCGTAGGCCTTAAGCTCTCGGCAAGTGGCGTCCTTTGATAGGCCACGCCCTTGACTTCAATTTTCATCCAAGATTACCATCATTCACCTTGTTATAAATATGAATGTTGGGTGAAAAATATAGCTTAACACTTAAGCTATATGTTAAGCAAGAGTTAGGATAAATTAAGCTATATTCACATGCACGTACGCACAGACGAGCTAAAGCCGAGCGAGCTTGGGAGTTTTGTACAATTGATCAGGCAGTCGAAGAGGTAATCTCTTCTTGACTCTATTTCAATGTTAATATAATCATGTTAGGTGCAAATCATGAAGTTAAGTTCATGAATATGTCATGTTTTCTTTCGGTTGCGCCAATTAAACCATGTTGATCCATGTCCGTTTTGGTTCAGAAACTCTCGAGCGAATTACGTTTCAATAGTGACTATTATATATATTATGTCCATTCATGTATTAGTTGTAGGGAAAAGTTATTAAATGGTCGAAGGATTGGCTAAAGCCGTAGGCTCTGCACGTAGCGCACGCCACGGCCGTATCTAGTTATATTTATGATCCTTTGAACAATTTATGTGTATTTCTTCATGTTATGTTAAGTTATGGTAAGTATTATTAAATTAATGTTATGATTGTCGAGGGAAATCACCGGACAGCCGGCAAGGGCCGGTCGTGATCATGCTGCCCGCACATAGCGGCCATAGCGTATCGGCAGTCAGTCCGGGGTCGGGCGAGTGTGGTGCGTAAGCCCAGAAGGGCGTCACGTATAGCCTACCCGCAACAGTCGACATTCGTCTAGGGCCAGCGCACACCGATAGGTCCCCGCGCACGCCAGTGCGCACAACCGCACGCCAGTCGGCCTTGGGCAGTGCTCGACAGCACGTCCGAGTGCCCAGTACCGTCAGGGTCGCCCAGCAGTGCCCATGCTGTACCCGTTCATGCCAGCCATCGCCCATGCGCGCGTTCATGTGTTCAGTCGCCTGCCGCGGTGCTCGGTAGCGCCCAACAGTATCCAGTCGCGCAAGTGCTAGCGCCCATAGCGCCCGCAGCGCAAGTCGTCATGCCACGCGTCCAGTCGAACGTCGGCCGTGCCTAGCAAGCACCTGATGGTCCTGTCAAGTGCACGCGTTGCACCAATTGCACGCCAACGCCTAAGGACGTGTCCCGTCAGTCTAGGCTAATGCCTATCATGCCTAGCAAGGTTCGAGCCACGCCGACCGTGCCCAGTGGCCCGCCAGCGTGCACGAGCGTCCCAGTCCGTGCCCAATCATGACCAGCAAGGCCCGACCATGCCTAGGCCGAGCCAGTCCATGCGAGCGACCGCGCCCGAGGCCCTAACAGGCCGGTTGGCCGAGCCAGCGGCCGATCGCCCGGCCACAGTAGGCCGGCAGTCCGGCCAGACCGTAGACCGACCGGTTCAGACCGGTTAAATTCAATAATTAATGTATAATGATCCGGTTCATGTTTATGTCCAATTTTTAGTTAAATTCCGGGTCCGGTCAATTTCAATAAATTCATGTCAGTTCAGTTCCATTTTAAACCTGTTCCGATTATACTGGTTAAGTTCAAATGTTAAGTCAAGTCAAGTCGAGCATCTTAACAATTAAATTTATTAAGTCTAAGCATAGTACTTAGTATTGGTTTATATTATGTTACAGTTTGATCAGGCTACTGTTATCAGCACTACCATTTTCATATCGACAGTTCAGGTGGGGACTCAGACTGGGTATTACATTGAGTATAATTACTCTACCATGTTTGAGGTATGTATCATGTCATGTTATGTTATGTATCCGCTTGGAATGGTCGCCGGTCCATTCTGGGTTCTAGTGGCCTAGTCTGCCCACTAGAGTGTGCACATGGTGTCCGACATTTTTATGCTGGCAGATGAGTTAACAGTTATGAGGCAATGGTCATGTGATGGTAATGGTTACCGGTATCATGCTATGTTTATATATATATACCAGGATCATGATATTGCAATTATTTTCACTGTTTACTTTAGTATCAATTCCTACGGAGCACAGTGGGTTTAGTGCTCACGCCCCATGTTTATCTATGTTTTTCAGGTCACAGAGTCGGACCGGAGGAGTGAGCTGACGGGCAGTTCAGGATTTTGTTTATATGTTTAAATTTGGCAAAGTAGTGTTGTTACTATCTCCCGTATTTTGAATTACATGTTTTGCCACGCTACGTCTTCCGCTGACTTTTCATGTTTGTCAAACTTAGTCTTTTGGTCTGATTACCAGTCGGATTGTTTATATTATGATAAACTATTTTTCTTAAAACTATAAACGGATTTCAAAGCAAAGTAATGTATTACGGTAACACTGCGAATCATGATTTCGTAAACTTATAATTAAAGATTTTGCGAAAATTTAACTCTGGTATTTATGACATAGCGGGGTGTTACAGTTGGTATCAGAGCACGTTTTTGCGTCTCTGAATATTTTTATGAGTAAAATTTTTTTATAAAACCTGAACACGTCACGCTAACGCCTCGCCGACTACAAGTAAGTGTTGTTTTATGTTTTAAATTATAAACAAATGACTATGTCTATGCTCAGAAAGAATTCACAGTTATGATCTAGTTAGGATGCTCCAGTCATGTTCAGGAATTATGGTCCAGTGTAACCATGATTTAGTGTTAATGTTTCCAGGCCAAGTTAGCAACTCGTAAGAAATTTGTGTGTCTTATCACTCAGTTAATGTATCATATCTCTATGTTTAATCATGTCGAACGTTTTCAATATTCAGATGCCGCCACGTAGAGAGCCAGATCATCAGGAGGTTCCCCAGGCCACCGTAGTCGCTCAGTTCCGCGACTACCATCCGGAAAAATTCTCCGGCCAGGGAGATCATCGAATTGTTGACGAATGGGTTCAGGGCCTTGAAATGATTTTTGAGGTCATGGACTGTCCCAACCGCTATCGTGTTTTATGAGCACAGATTCAATTGGCGGCTGATGCACGTCTCCGGTGGAATGCCTACTGGGGAATGCGTCTAGGTGAAAAGGAAGGTTGCACGTGGGACAAGTTCAAGGAGCTGATTCGCGAGTAATATTATCCCGCGTACTTTCGAGCAGAAATGGAGCGTCAATTTCTGGCACTCCAACAAGGTACTCGTACAGTGGATGAGTATGAGCGAGAATTTACTCGACTTGGAGCCTTTGTTCCCGATCTGGTAAGCACAGAGGCAAAGAGATCGAGGTGTTTCACTGACGGGCTTTTGCCAGTAGTCCGTCATAACATTGTAGGACACGGCGTCCAGAACTATTCTCGTACTGTCACCATAGCCCAGGAGGTTTACGCCAGCATTCGGAGGGAGGCCAACCATGATCGTCTTCAGCCATTTGCCCCTGCCCAATCATCTTTAGCCCCACCAGTTCAACCAGTTGTTGCCCAACAACCAAAGGACAAGAAGAGGAAGGGGAGAGGCTTCCAGACTGACAGGAGGATCCGTCCGAGACAACCAGGAGCAGCCAGAACACAGTAGATTCCACCATGCACTACTTGCGGACGACCCCATCGTGGAGAGTGTCATTTCTGCCAGGACATTTGCTATTATTGCCATCAGCTCGGACATTTCGTCAACAACTGCCCAGAACGACCGCAGCCACGACAGCAACCACCGCAGCAGCCACAGCAGCAGCAGCAACCCAGACAACAAGCCTCGAGGCCACCCCAAAATCAACAGAGTGGCAGACAGCAGGCTCGTGTTTATGGTGTTGATCAGGCCGAGGCGGATCAGCACCCAGGTACTATGTCTCGGATGATTATGCTTAACGATGTTCCTGTCTTCGCTTTATTTGATACTGGAGCAACTCACTCATTTATATCGCGACGATGTCTTGATGCCATTGGAGTACATTCTATTACCGCTGTTGATCCTCTCGAGGTGAGTTTAGCCTCGGGACGAAAGATAGTGACTGATGCCAAAGCTACTGATCTCAACCTTTCTATGGGTGGTCGTATCTTGACTACCGACGCTTATGTTCTCGAGATGAGGGACTTTGACCTCATTCTCGGTATGGATTGGCTAACGTATTTTCATGCAGATATTCGATGTCACGACCGGAGTTCACTCTTTATCTTCCGGAGACGATCATATTACTTTCTTTGGCACCAAGACTCGTTCTTTACCTCATGTTATTTCCATGGCGAAAGCCAGAAAGATGTAATGCTGAGGTGATTGTCAGGGTTATCTTGTGAGTCTTGTCGATGATAAACCGATAGCACGGACGCCTCACGACGTTTCTATTATTCGTGAGTTTGTTGATCTGTTTCCGGACCAACTTCTAGGATGACCACCTAACCAGTAGGTAGAGTTCTCTATTGATCTTATCCCAGGAGCCGACCCAGTTTCGAAAGCACCTTATCGTATGGCACCGAAAGAATTACAAGAGCTTAAGACTCAAATTCAAGAGTTATTGAAACTCGGTTCTATCCGACCGAGTGTCTAACCAGGGGGAGCACCCGTTCTTTTCGTCAAGAAGAAGGACGGTTCTATACGCATGTGTAT